CCTTGTTGGTAGATTTCATTTTAGTATCTATTGTTCATACGAACAACATAGCCGCCGATATTTTGTCTTATGAATACCAAGAAATTGGTTGCAAATAAGCAATCGACAATAACGCAACAGAGATGGCAAAAAATTGCAACCTGTTCTAACTGGTCTAACCTGCTAGAAAGTGTTGAGAAACTGAAAAAAATCTCTAATATGTAATCGGCAACCATCCGTTAGAGCAGGATACAACTTTTTTTCCATTTTTAAAAATCACAAGGTCTATCATCAAGCAAATGATCGTAATAATACACAAGTGCAGAGTGAAATGATTGAATAAATTAACATAAGTGCAAAAATTAATTGAATTTATTTATTAGATGTTATTTTTTCAATAATTTCATTATATTATTTCCATCATTTGCTTGATAATGCCGTCATGACGACACCGAAACGTCGCAGTAACAACGTAAAAGCCGTGTGTTTCCTTTCGTTATCTTTTCTTATATTATTTTTTAGACATCTTAGAGTGCACGCAAAAAAAGCGTGAAACAATTCTTAACAATCAACAACTAATAAGATTTAGTTTTCAACTAACTAAGAATGAACACAATGCCAAAAAGAAAATTATCTTTGTTTATGCCTTACTAAGTTCTTAATTAGTTGATAACTAAATCTTATTAGGCGCTAATTAGTTAAGAATTGTTAAACACTTATGTGGCGTGCACTCTATTCACAAGACACATGATTACACAAGAGACTGGAAACAGGGTAGGACTAAAGCATGCTAAATACACTGTAATTAAACACAGAAACCTTCGAATGGCCATTTCAATGTTTTCAGCTTACCTGCGTAACCCCAACTCGAACCTCTCTTGGCGCAGACCCCTTTAAAAGCTCTCCACCACTTCCTTTAAGGAAGCCCATCCCACCCCTTAGGAAGCCGCCMGACATTAACGATAGCACTTCTTCAAGGGTGACAGGCTTTTTAGCTTTAACAYTGCCTGCTTGCTGGGCCTGCTGAGTAGCAGCCATCAGGGTGCCCAGCAATTGRGAAATGCATATTCTGACGTCATAATTAGATCCTTCCAAAGCCTTGAGACTTGTTGAAACCATTGTCTCTAGTTCAGCCATGTAAAGGAATGATGCATGYTTGATGAGACCAAGGGTGCACTGAATAAATAGATGTACACATTGTTCATTGCCAAATATCTCAGTATGAATAAAGAGTAAGATTTTAACAAAAGTAAGGTATTTAATACTGTAACTAGTCCCAGTTTGTACTTATCTTAATCAATAGATTTATGACAAACACTTGGATAATGGACAGTGAAAACACTTGGATGGATGGATCCAACAAATGGATGATCAGACTCGGGAGAGCCTACGTAGCACTCAGTTGATGTAATATAAAGATATAATACAAAACACATAATACAATAGAACGAGGAACAATGGAATACAATACATTTTATGAATACATTACATCAACTGCGTGCTACGTAGGTCACCCGGTCAGACTCATTGATGGCTGGATTCAATGGAGGAAGGAAGGAGGGAGGGGAGGGAGGGATTTAGCAATGGATGGATGGAACCAACAGATCAGATTGATTGACACATGGAATCAATGGTAAAGGGAGGGAGCAATGGATTTATGGATGAGTAAAGATCCTTTGACCATCAAAGATCATACTATACCTAAGAGAACATACATACAGTATCTGATAGAGTGCAATTTGTTTCTAAAATAATGTGATTTAGTGCAATTTTAGGCAAATAGTGCAGGATTGCACCCTCGCACCCTGTCAGCTACTCTGATACATATCTTTACATAATACAGAAGCYCTTAAAATTCTACCTTTGCTGCAGCACACCTAACAGGCATTGATCTATCAAGCATGCAATTACGAGATGCTTTATACACRTCTTTATGTACTGATGCACCCATTTGACCAATTCCATCCATAATCCTTTGCAGGCACAGCAAGATTTCACATTTCCCTTGAGACTGAAAWCATTGAAAAATAATTCTYCATCTTAGATTTTTACATTAACCTCTGAAAWGCTTCAGAATTGCAAATGGATATGGTGGCCCTCTTGAAATAATGCTGTCATGTGGAAATAGAGAAATATTTTGACACTACATTGTTTGTGATTTAGGTTAATACAAACYTCAATGTTTTTCATAGCTTTGATGAGGATTTGAACTGTTTCTTGACATGAACCACCAACCTTAAGCAATCAAAGACAATTTACATGTATTTACTAAAGTGCCATATAAATTATGCAACTTGAGTTATAAATRTATTATGCAATTCTTACCATTCGGCCAAGTTTTTCAAACATTGCTCCAATACAGGCAACAGCAGTGCTGAATATAAATGATACAAAAAACATAGTGTTCATGAAGTATGCACAGATATGACACACAATTCATTTATTTATAGTTAGATACAATGTTTTGATGGTTAGAAAGTATGACTACTTCATATTACCACAGATTGGTTATGCATTATTATGGTCAGTGCTATGAAAGCACTGACTTCTGATGAATAAAACATCAGTGCATCATCATATGCTAAATGAAGACTTTACAAATCATTTTCTTTTGGCTCATGATTTCAAATGCTGTTGYAGCATAGCAAGTCATTACAAAGTAACTCAAATCACTTACAGTTTGAGAGGCAAAAAAGCTGGTGTTTCATCTTTATTTTTGATGGTGTCTGTGCATATGTTTACAATCTCCAAGACTGAGAAAGTATCRCCAACACTGAACATGACAGCAAAGCACTTGGCCAGTAGGTCTCTGGTAGGTGGACCAAGACATTCTTTGAGCTGCTTCGACAGCTGAGCKGTCAGTTCCTTTTGGATGACCTTCACCTTGGGCTATTTTAATCAGAAATAATAGATTGTATAATATTATACTACTGTAGTTCATTTTTCTTTGCTCTTAGGATTGTACAGTAGCCAACCACAGATTCTGATTGTGGATATGTGAATAAAACTACTCATTCCATAAACCCTTATACTTCGTAGAGGATAACTTTATCTGTGAGTGAACTGCATCAGTGGACAACTTCATACACCTTGAATACTCCATTTTCAAATTCAAAGTGAACAACTGCTGTTTTAATTGAAAGCAGATTTGCTTGCGAAACGAACTTACTCAGAAAAGGATCATACCTTAGGTCTACAGGGAATATAGGGTTAGTCTAAAATCAGGCAAAATGCCAATTTTCAAGGCTATTGTAATTACAAAATTTTCTCATGCTTTCTTTTGTGTTTGGTAACGTCTTTGCGCAATAGAATCTGCTGTCAAATAAACTTTGAATTCGAAAATGGAGTATTAAAAGCCACAACTTTTGTCAACAACCATGTATGCAACCTGCCTTAAGTCATCCTTACAACATAGCTCCAACTGTTGCCGGGATTAAAAACAATTGCTTAATCCATAGCATTACAGCATTGGTATCCATGTTGCAAGACTGACTTGCATGCAATGATTGTAGTTAAAGTTGTGCCATCTAATCTGGACTTACTTCCTTTTGTATTTCTATGCAACTAGCCAATGCAAAATTCATGACATGCAATAATTAGCAATAGACTGCCAATCAAAATTTTCAAAAATGCAAGTGGCTGGAACCAAAGCACATCAATAGCCGATTTGCAATATGGCGTCATTTACTACAACTACCAGAATGCTTTGCCAACTTTCTTTTGTAATGCAATTAGTGCCAATTGTTTTATTAATCTCCAAGTGGTTTAAAAATCTGAATAACAATGAAAATGCGCAATGCTCTCTGGTAGTTGTGGTAAAGTTATGTCATAATGCAAATGGCCCATTGATTGACATGTTTATCTGGGCTGATTGTGCAGCAATGCAAACTGCTGTTATCTAGTGTAATTGATGGATAAAATGATAAACAATACATCATACAATAATAAACTTTAAATGGGTAGGTTCGAATTTATTTCTGGGGCAATATGATTTTCAACATGACAACTCGTTGTCAACGACATTTTGCATGACAGTGTTTCACTATAGTGATTTGAGTAGTAGGTTCAAAGCAAAAAGTCGGATTTTTAACACAAACTTGAGCTATATTTAAACAATAACTTACAAGTCTCATGATGAAGCCTTCATTTACTAGTAAGCTTACAAGTTTAGCTTTGCTATGATGTCGACATTGATCGATAGATTGCACAAATAAGATAATAACATTTTCCTTCTTGAACGAAGACAATGAAAAAAGTCATTGCCAACTTCAAACGTCGATGTATCAAATTATGACATCTTTCCTTACCCGTGTTGAGTTTGAAAGGTCATTTTCGAGGTTTCGTAGCCACTCGTAGATGAAAATTTCCTTACGATTCTTCGGCGTTTTGGCGAATTCTTCTTCGTTGTAGAGAAATGTAGKCTCAGGAAAGTCCATCCTTGATGTTTTTAGCTCCTGAAGGATTTCGGAGACTGAAATTCTGCGTATTTTGGATTAGAAGTTGGGTAAATTAAGCTGGCTCCCGCCCAGCCAGGCCATATTGGATTTTGGCAGTGGCATTGCAGGCTCAAGACAAAGGAAGATTTCCCGCTGGGGGAGGGGGAGGGGATAGTATGGGGAAGACAAATTGTTTAAAATATTTTTTTATCTAATAAATATCATCCCAGATTTATGTTTTTTGCTGATTTTAATGCTGGAATGTAAAATTCTTCACAAAAATATGTTATTTCTGAAAGCCATATAAACTATTCCTGAACTATGCATAAAAATTAATATATTTATATATTTTCAAGTAAAAAAATAAAAATTATAAATTATAAAAAATTATAAAAATAATGATTAAATCAAATACACTGTAAAAAAATAATAATCAATGTTAAATCATTGTTAAAAAATGATAATAAGTAATGGTCGTACTGTTCACCAACTTTCTGGTTTGGGTACCCTGTGGTTATGACTCTCATGACAGTGGCGTGGGAGGAGAGGGCAAAGTCAATCAAATGACACAATCAATCATCCATACAGTTAGCAACAGAAAAACCTTTGTTGTAGTAGCAACAGAATTTAGATATAAACAAGTTTAAGACTTAATACATAAATCACAGAACAATCACGTCAAATCTCCGAGAAGACAACGGAACYATGTAAAGTTTCACGACGGAAAAATGGCCGACGAAGTTGATGGGGAGTTTGTTCGTGACCAAAACACACAAGACTTTGTTAAAGGACTGAAAGAACGAGAAGAACTCAAAGCACAACTAGCAGATAAAGAACGCGAAGTTAATAGCTTAAAAGGACAGAATTATGACTTAATGAAGAAGTTAGAGTCACTTCAGAATCAGGTGAAACTTCGTGTTCTCTTTGAGTTCAAAAACTCATGTAATTGAGCTTAATTAAATATTAACTTCTAAGTGTTTTTTGATACACATTTGAATTGCTAGAAGTACTGCGACAATATTGGTACTATTTTGTAACATAGAATTGATTATTTTACTCCTATGTTATTYATCAATTTAATCTGGCTGTTTGGATATCAAAGATAGCAGAATTGACGCCAAAGGGAGATTCGGTAAGTACTAACATGTCATTTTGATGTCACGCATTACTATAGTTGGCTTTAGCTCTCAGTTACGTGACCGTTACCCCAGGAATTATCTATCAAGTGACTAATCACACACTTCATTGCTTGTGATAGACGTTCATTGTTTTGRATCCCCGCCCCTACATTAGTACATAATCAAATCTGCGTCACTTCCGGACTATTTYGCAAACTATCATAAAAGCTATTTTAAACGCGAGTCCTCGAGCTAAAAAATTCTAACGCGAAAGCTCGACTAAGGAAGGCCAAAGATTAGCCAAAAGATGGAAGTGAAGGAAGCAAAKCATAAAACTCCATCATCCTACAATTCTTTGTAGTTAATGACTTTCAGTCAGTTTTAGTAGCTGTCCGAGCGAGAATGGGCCCTCCCCAGCTACGTAAATCAAGAACAATGCAAAAACGCGTAAGTTCTCTTGCGCAASAAWTTGTGCAWAAGWGCTGCACAGTGCAACATAGGTTGTCTTCAAATTGTTRTTGCTGAACGTTGCGTTACGGGAAGTATAAGTCAGGTCATACCGTGACGCAAGATTACTAGATCACAGATCACTAAGAAAATTGTATTAACGGGGCTGTTACGTTMGAAAACGTCACACAACAAATATTGAGAGTGCGCGCCGGTATTTCAGGTCGTAAGTAATACGAAATATTTATGTTACTATATAGGATGGCAAAAAATCAAGGCCAATGACAGGACGCAAGCCAAAAAGACCAGCAAAGAGAAAAAATAAGCCCGATTCAAAAGACAGGAAAAAATCATCAGTTGAAACGCCAGCAAATAAAGAGGTTGTCGACCCCTTTGAAGATCCTGAAAAACTATACGCAGTAAGTATGAGTATTGAATGAATTTGAACAGGGTTTCAGTGCTTTGATATATGAATGTCAGTTTTTAAAATAATTATTCAGTTGGCGAAAGTGGAAGTGGTGGTTCTCATCAGGCATTCATTGTGATGCATTCTTTCTGGGTTTTTAGTATTCAAACGGACATAAAAAGGCTCGAGGACTACAAATACCCGTCATGCTTTTCACGAATAAATGGCGTCGCTGCTTGTATTCATAGACCGTTGTTTTGATTTTTTCAATACAGGAAATAGCCTCCAAGTTCCCYGATCTTCCATTGTCAACTGTTTTAAACGCCGAGAAAAGATTYGTAGAGGCAGATATCAATCGTGACGGGGTAAGAAGTATTCAAAAAAGTGTTTGCTGTCTGCAGAACTCAAAGTATTAGAAAATCTAAGACCAAGAACTGAAATTGTAACGCGCGCAATCACGCTTGAGTCTCTTTTTTTCACTTTTCTAGCTCTAGTAACAAGGGAGTTATCCTATACCATGTATAGTAGCCTCTGTGATTCAATAACACAAATTTATAAAATTTCCAGCAATCACCGATCCATCATTTTCTATGGTTAACTTTAATTAATTCAGTGTATTCAAATTTTGTTTCAGACAATCGATGATAGCGAGCTAGAAARGCTCCTCGATAAGTGTTCAGCAGCACAAGGCACAGCTCTTTTTACAAAAGATCAAATCCAAGATATTATGAGAAAAATAGATGTTGATAATACTCTTTCCATTGACTTCATGGAATGTCTATCGGTAAGTGACGGGACCTTTTCGCATTACGCAGGCAACCCAACCATCAATGACTGTAATAGGTAATAGACCTAATCGGCTAACGGCGTTGCTATGTACGTTGCTACCCAATTCAAATCCTGTGGGAAAAAGAACTTTTGTTTCTAATAAGAATTCAACAGTGAAAAGAAAATACAACGAACAATGAAACTTACTCCCGGGTGGTTTGAATTGGGTTGAAGCCGATTAGGTCTATTTACGAGCCAGTATGCGTCTAGTGATTACGTGCTCTACGCATGCTCTTGTCTATTTTTTGGTATCGGCCAAAGATATGGTGCCATATTCAAGAAAGGCTCAGTCCTTATCCCTCAGGGTTTCGTACGCCGCACCCGCGATATATACTCAGTGGAGAATACGCGGGGCGTGTGTTTGGCTAGAAGAACGCATAAGAAGAACCAATAGTAAGAGTGATAATTATGTTGAATAAAGTAGCTTACATTCTTGGACATAAATGTTGACAATTTTGCGCGAGCACGACTTAAAGGCCCAGTTTGCACCAATATGTTTTGCGCGCCTCTGTTATTGTTATGATTTACACTAAAATACTTCTAATATCCAAATATCACCATAAAACGAATTTCAAATGGTTGAAAACTCTTATATTGGCATTTAAAGTGCTTAGAAAAGTTAGATGGTCAAAGATTCGAAACACATAGTACAATTTATAGACTTTCGGTAAACTGAAAATGGCCGCCTCCCGGCCCTCKCGKCMCCCAAAGCATAATGGTGCACACTGGGCCTTTAACTCACAAAACTCGTTGATAAAACCACCCCCGTGCCCCCTTCCCTACAATACAATGTTTTGTGGCTGTTTTTCCATACTCTGACCATTCATGAACCCGTGCCTACAACATTGCAGTGGGAGGGAGGGGATGGGGGAAAAATATAATCATGACTTACAAGTGATACCGCATTTCTGGGACCTAACTGAAAAATTGTCAAGTATTTATGTCCAAGATTGTAGRATTATACATAAAAAGATGTTGACTTGTAATGTTATTTTCTATAGATTCTTGATCTTTTACGACAAAACCGCAAGACAGGACTCCCGTCGTCGATACAAAATCAAAAGAACTCAGCGGTTTGCAGCATACAATGACATCATCATATTAAACTACGTACMTTGAAATATCTCTATAACGCGCGCTCTTATTGGCTGAGATGCATTTCACCGGAGTACACAGCGCATTCGCGAACCTCTAGCCAATAGTCTTCAAGTAGAACAAGTACAGTGCAGTTTGACATCTTGTCAAAAGTGTCAGCAGTGAAGTCTCAATGCGTTTCAGTTCCTTAAAGGGACATGGTCCACCAGCATCCCTTTCGAGCTTTTGTTTATGTTTGAAAATAGAAATACATTGTAATATAAGCAAAAACTTGCTCTTTATTATTCCTTTATACTATATGAATGGAGATGCTTTAAGATTCGACCGTTAAACCGATGGATGGAAACGGATTGCAAATGGATATTCGAAGTCTCCTTAGTTTTCCATATATGAAAAATCTAAAACAAGACCACATTGCATGCTAGTGGACCATGTCCCTTTAAGATGTCAATCAATTCCAGCATACTTTTAAGTGATTATAATATATTTTGAGATGTTAACCTTACTGTAGAAAAACGTTTTGTGCTCSGTTACGATGATCTTATTAACCAGCTGTATCTACTTATGAAATCGTTCGTACAGTATTATAATCGACAACATATTAATTATTGGGCTCAGAGATAAAGTCAAAATAAACTTAAGAAAACGCATCTTGTATACAGGTAGTGCTTGATGGTCTGAAATCAGGTGTAAGCGATGTAGGGGCATGCAGTATAAGACCGTGGATAATTTTACCTCTGAACGTTTCAAGGTCCTGCGGTGGAAGCCGTCTTCAGGATCCACGCAGGATGTTGAGATGTAAGGTTAAATTATTCAAAATTGTTGATTTTCATTTGTTTCTTCATGCTTCTGTAGGATGACATTGTGTACAATAACAACATTGATGAACATGGGGGAGAGGAGTAGGGAGTATAGGGCTATATCGTTAGTACAAAACCAACTGTTTATCTTGTCCAAATGTATATTATATGCCGATGATTGTCGCTCGGGTCTGTATAATGAGAGTTTCGCTGTTTCAGATGCATTCCAGATAGATCAGTGTCGCCGGAATTACTGAAAGATCAACTTCCGAAACGACTTTTATTTTTCTGTGCTACACTCCTGTCTTACGGAGCAAAATTATCTTGACTGAGATCGATAGCATTGCAGCTCTCATAAGCTATTGACGCATTTCTATAGACGCGTTTACACTTGCGATTTTGCGGCTGAGTTTCGAACATTGAAATTTAACTGCAACTCGCGGC